CTTCAATTAAGTAGGTCAACTTTTAACCCTACTTGTCGGTAGTCGTGGAATCGTTGCCCATATAGGGCCATCCAAAATATTATGGTTGCTTTAAAATGTGATTTAATGTGAGCTCTGTGAGCGATATGCTAATGGAATGAATGACTATTATGTTCGAAGTGGTATTGTGAGAAACAGTGTATATATGTGAGTGCAAGAAATATATATTTTTTGTTGACCGGTGATTAAAATACACTCAATGCAAATGAAACGGTAAGGCACAACAGATTATATCTCGGATTTGTGCGGGGTCCCGAGAATTTCTGATCCCGGCTCTTGAATCTCGATCTCGATCCTAGGATTCATGTTTTCGGAATTCGATAAAACAAGTCATAGTATACCGATCATGAATGAGGCACATGTGATTTGCAAATCATTCGCATCTCATTCATATGCACTCATGCTTGTTGTTTGCCATCCACATGCTAATGATGCATACCGCCACCTCGATTTTTGTTTTCATGTAATATTGACCAAGAATTTTATGAAGTCACTGTTGCTTCATGTTTTATTGTCAAGATTGCCTTGCATTCCAAGTGCGTTTATATTAAAGCATACGACGGTAGCAGTGGTCATTCTTGATAAAGAAAACGCAAGTGGTGAAGTAAAAAAAATCAAAGAGTCGTCTTCGGAGCGAATACTCGTACATTTAAAAACAAAGCACAGCATTACATTCTGCAACAAAGGTCACAAGAGGTTGATTAAGACGACCCCACCGATGAGTGTCGAACGTAAGCGATTCTTTTCTTTTCTTGTACTAAGCTGAGAACTCGAATGAGTGCTGCAACGATCAACGCTCTAACCTTTCCAAAAGCTCTTTCAACTCTCACTGAAATTTATATTTCGACTCTGTTGTTGTGTCAGTCTGTAATGTTTATTCATTTCAATATGATTTTGTTTCGATTGTTTTGTTTTGTTGAATTTATTGTATTTGTTGGGTTTTGTTGAATAATTTGTTGAATAAAGTATGAACACATCCGTCTAAAAGGAATCTGTTAAACATGTCACACTTGTGTATCTCAAAAGTTGTTGTTGACTCCGGGCTTCGTGCCGGGATTGAAAAACGATCTTGAGATTAAATCTCCACCTCGGTATCGAGAAAATGATGGATTTATGCAAACTTTGATTTTCCATTACTAAGTCAACTTCAGCAGAGCGAGGTTGCCTCCTAATAGCAAACCCATAGGCTCTTTCACTTCTTTCAGTTCAGTGGCTGCAACTGCAGAATCAG